TTCTTTGAAAACCAGATCATTTCAAGATAGTCGAAACAAATTAACTATATTTTTAGGATCGCAGATACAAGCGACGAATTACTACCTAATGCAAATAGAATGATAACGTTAAATACGCCTATGAAAAACAGTAATGGAATCAAACCGTTGCTATATAAATAAATATGTGCACTATAATAGACGCGAGAACTGTGGAATCTGCTCAGAATCTAAAAGGGTTCAAGTGATAGAGTTTTTGTTCTTGACACCAGCTACACAAAGAAATAAATCTATTTCAATTTTGATGCGATTAAAACAATAAATTGTACACTAGAGTTCGCACTTAAAGAGGGGTCATCCACATGGACAACCATCTTCACAATGTCAAGCTATTACAAACTTCGTCTAATACCTTGAATGTAATAGCTACCTTTCTTTTATCGCAGAATGAACAGATTGGACAGAACGGCATATAAAGGTTATCGACGTGAAAATGATATGAGTGTTTTAGGTCTGGGTTAATGGGCAACACAATGCAGTGTGGAATTTTACCAATGTTTCTTTTTCGAATACCAGTTGTCGATGGATCTTCATTGTGCAGAGCTTATAGCTCGGTTTATCGACCTAACGACTAGACACTGTTCAATACCAGCACCTACATCACAGCATTATAAAAGTAAATCATGAAATATAAAAAAGAGATACCTACGACAAACATATACCTTCGGATTTTTCAACCCAGTTTCCCCCTGTCAGTGTTGCAGGTAAGAGAGGCTGACATAGAAAAAGCGTGTATTCGTTCGGATGGGACAATAAATCAAGGCCCCGTGTGCTAAAGATCCCTCGACAGTTGAAAATCGAAAAACAACAGGCAAAATCTCCCCCATTCATCCTGTCTTCATTAGCCCACACGGTGCAGAAAAGTAGGACGTAAAATTCCATTCATTTCATTTCATTTTCCCACGACAAACAAAGGACACGTTTTAAAGACATATCTCACGATTCAAGTGTAAAGAAAACGAATATCAGACAAAGCTTCATCCAATTATAGCAGACAAACATCTTCCAAACAAAAGTCTTGATGCAATTTATAGAAAGTGGCATACGTGCTAAATCTGCATCAGTTTACATCCTTTTGATAAAAAATTGAAAACCGGGACGAAGCAACTGAAAACAGTTATTGCCTCGAAGGTGTTTGATATATCCTGAAGGCAATGGGTGTGATTATTTCTTTACTAATACAATATAAACAACATCTTATCAGACTTATGTGTCTCATTATTCGATAACTAGAAATATAACATAGCTAAAGGTTATATGATAATATCCATGTGGTATTCAGGAAATGTAGACATTGCATATAAGTGTATCATTATAGTCGAAATATTTGAGCGCAGATTGCATTTGTTACTTGGAATTGTTTACGAGATTTAAAGAAATTTTGAAATGTCGCGACGGTCTCTAAAGAAAACAGTCAAATTGCGATGAGATTTATGATAATTTAAACATGTGTGCCGGAAACATTTAGATCAAAATAACAGATCAATATAACGCCAGTTCCGGCTACACAAGTCCACTGGCGTACTTGGCGCATACCTGACAAAGAAGCCAACCCCAAAGACTTTAAGTGGAACTAATGTTCTCAGAGAATATTGGGATGAGATCGAAAATTTGGAAAATGTGTCTCGGGAACATTTTCTAGATCAAAATAATAGATCAATATGACGTCAGTTTCGGCCACAACACTAATCCACTGCCGTGTATAACGCATACCCAAATAAGGAACACAATCCTCAAGGGCGTGGGGTCAAAATATCGTTCTCAGAGAATATAGCGATGAAATCGAAAATCAGGACAGGGTCTTCCGGAAACATTTTTGTAGATCAAAATCGAGATCAATATAACGTCCGCTCCATCTATACAAGTCTGCTAGAATTTCTGGCGCATACCTAACAAAGAAACGCACCGGCCAAAGGATTTGGGTCGAAATATTGTTCTCAGATAATATTTCGATGAGATTCTGATAAATTTGACGCATACTTGAAACATTTTTAAACAGAACCAAAACGTATGTTCCGGTCACACGCATTCCTAACAAGGGAACACCATCTATATACAAAGGCGTGGACTGTAAAAAAAGGAAAAGACATCTGTCACTGCATATATTTGTGATGAATATATTTTTAATGTATATTTAGATATGCACGGAAGGGTGGATATTGTTATGATTCACATATAAAAACTTTGAATTACAGCTACACCACTTCTAATACAATTAAGAAGTTGTTGAAAGAGCGTGCATGTTGAATTGACCACCACACCTCCAAAATATAAATAAAAATGTTGCAGTTGACGCACGCGAAAAATTGTCATGACCTGCCTTTGTAAATCCGCCTTTCGTCCTAATACGTTTATATTAAATGAGTGGATATTAATTTTATCGTTAACTACCAATGTCTGGAAAGAGATGAAGCCCAGATGGTAATCACGACCACATAGTTAAGGTTTTTCAAGTAGTTTAACAGACCTTTACTAGCAATGTTGGTTAATATTAGATTAATAAAGCACGTATAACGGCATCTTCACATCTTCTTGCTAAGCTATTACACAATGCGTCTATTCCCTTGACTCCAATAGCCACCTTTTTTGTATTCACAATTTGATAAGATTGTACGCCAGCAGAGTCCTCTACAGAACGGCTGTGAACATTATGGTTTACAGACTTTATGTCGAAGGCCCTGATTGGCTGTATGCGCTATAAATACAATCCAACCAAATCAGTGCATTTACAAATTGTTGTGATACAAGAAAAGGGCCAAGTGAGGTCAAATTATTAGATGTATCAGTTCGTAAAAGCTTGACACTTTAGAGATTGTATGACGATCGTACAAGTAATTCAAACATTGTTCCATTGACCAAGTCTGTTTTAGTAATTATGTTTTCTGAGCTAACTAGTATAGTAAATTGATCAGCTGTTGATATAGCTGTAATATAAATACTCGTAACAACTGCTAGACATTAGATACCATTACTAGAATAATAAATCAAATAGTAGTCTTCGCCACTTATCTAGTTTCTGTTTGTCTGATAAATGGAGTTTTACGCCATACAGTGCAAGCATATTATTGAAGCAATGGAGGTAGGACGGATATAACGAGAATAACGACATGCGTGTCCAAATAAACAACCTGGCGAATATTGTTATGTGGTACATCTGACGATTCATGTAATTGGAAAATACAATGTTTATTCAATACGTTAAAGCTGATCAGAATATTGCAGTACCAACTTGAACAGCAAAAGAGCGCAGATAGAATGTGATAAAATTTATCCTAATTTTTAACTGTCGTAGGTCGTGTAAATGTTTTAAAAGGTGGGATTAAGTAGAGCTTCATATACTCCGACACCCTCTCAATTTTATTTACCCTATAACAACTAAAACCCAAGTCTAATCCAAGCTTTTATTCAGAATGGCCAATTGGATGAAGTCAGCCTTTAGATGCGTTGATCCCAACCTTTCCATCTTCAGAGCAATATTAAAACCTCTCTCCCCACCCCAAAAGTAGACGTTCGAAACATTGTAAATTTTATAATTTTTAATACAAGCTAATCATAAAACTCCTCAGTTTGCCAAACGGACAAGGATGGTTCTATGGTAGTTGCGATCAATTAAAAATCGTATAAACCATATAATTGCCCCCCAAAAATTTTCCTCTTACTACACTTGGATACACACCCGACACACTAATCCAACACCTCTGGGAGGTGAAAACACCCCGAATTGGAAACATGGGCTGTAGATCTAAGTAACCCTCAAAACATACAGTAAGACCAAAAAAAGAACACTCCATGACTCGTTTGATAGACGGACGGATGTAGGGTATTACCAACCTACTAAAATATATTTACCAAGCTCATTATTAGACGGACCACCTATAAGATAAACTCATAACGGTTTGTCATAATTGAGTTCTCAACACATTATATTATAATTCTTCTTAGATGACCTTTAAAGTTCCCACCTTTTTCTGCGTTTTGAAGGTTAAGAGATTTTTTGTGTGTATGCAATTGAAGCATTATCTTATATGAACCAGAGGATATCAAAAGTATATTTACCCTTAGAAATATGCAAGTGTACTTGACCACCCGTTAAAGTTTCATCGACCCAAAATTCTACATGCCATAATGTAATATTATGTTTTGTGCATTGCAAATATTATCATGACCACATTACGACATTGAAGGTAACAGGTAGCAGGTCACGAAAATGTCTTCTTGTACATATACTAATTTAGTTCATGTAAAAAACGTTTACTTCAATATTACACCCATATAACATTTTTTTATCAATTGACTGCTTAACCTGTAACTAACATCAAAGAGTGATAGATGTTATGTATTTCAACTACATGTTTATAATTCATCATCGCACAACACGATTAAGGCACGTTTAGATTTAGATGGTAGGTCCATTGACAATTGGGCGTGCAAGAATGCAAAAAAGAGCAAAGAGCTCGGTATTTGTATCCTGATTATGAGCAGCCCTTATTAGTGGACAAATTTACGTTCACATGTCAGCAAGATGGCCAATAACAATGTCCCTTGTGCAGTTTTCGTATTGTAACAGGTCAAAATAAGATACGTTACTTGTTCACGCAATGTAACGAGTCACACTACGGAACGTGACTTCGTAACTTGTCCGTAAGGATATTCTCGGTGTCTTCAGCGTTGAACATGGCATAATATGAGACGATAAGCGTTAAAAGCGGTTGATAACAGTGGTTTTGTCTACCCCTTGACATATTGAAAACTGAACAGTTGATCACCGTTTACGATGCTACATGAAATAGGAGTAGTGCGTACTACTTTTCTGCATCCGATGTAGTGAATGTAGACAAGATATATTTTGCTGTATGCAATGAGGGACATGTCAAGTCTTTCAGCGGGTCATGTATCTTCTTTGTTTACATTTCAGGCGATTGTTTGTTTAACTACCAAGAACTTTTCTGATGCTGTAAATAATGGATCTCTGTGTTTTATTCGTATTTATCATTTATTTATCTTATCACAAGACCTATTCTGGTTTACCACCACATCTAAGAAAATATGCTAGAGGGTAAGAAATAAAAATTTGACATTTGAACGAATTTCCTTATTTCGAGGTCGAATATGGTACTTTAAGCATATTTTTACCATACAAAAACTCGCAACCTAAAAGTGCGGGCTCACGAACGAGATTTTTGTTGCCGATTAGAGTAAAATCCCGCGTGTTCCCGTGCTTCCACGACAAGATTATCGCGTCTCAGACAGGATTTATAATATCAAACAAGTTTGATAATTGTCGCCAATATTTTTTATCGTCTGCAAGACAGACTGTCCTCATCCAATCAGATTCATTTTCCTTTCATTTGCATGCTCATGATTATCGACATAATAGAAAACAACCGACTGGAGATTTTTGTCTCCTCGTGTCCCCCAGTCGATGAAACTCTTGACAAGACACTAGTCGGCGACAAAAATCTCCGACCAAGACTCTTCTTGTGATGTAATATAACAACATCTTTAATGAAGATATCTTATATTCTATTTTCAGACCTAATGTATGTGTAGAACAGGAAGTTTATGGTACTAGAGAACGATTCTTTACACAATGTGTTGGACGTTACCTTAGAACTATTTGTGAAAGACCAACGTACGTTAATTATTTTCATTGCATTCTTATTACATTACTAGAAATGAAATAACCAAATAACGAGCACTTTGCACCTTACGAACTAAAACTTCAAACTAAATCAAACGTTAATTGAACCTTCTGCATACTCTTTGTGATAATTTTGCTTCAACGTTATTAAAATTGTGTGAAGCAACATTTAACTAAATATTCCCTAGTCTGATCTGGAAAAAAATTCATCATAGCTCCAAATGTTCTCAAACACAATATAGCAATACACGTTTGTGTTATTAATCACTATATGTTTACAATTAAAAAATCCTATTTTTAGAATGTTTAAGTTTGAATGCTGTTCTGGATTTGAAAAAGTTCGAGGTAAACAAGGATGTACCGGAAGTAAGTACTTGCAATATCCCAATTTTAGTACAAGGTCCACCCTTAGCCTTTTCCTTTCTCTTTAGGTACCAAAAAAATACAAGACGTTAAGTTTTCAAATTCAGTCACAGAGAGATAATAGTTCCGTACAGAAACTTTAGTTATTACCTCGTAAATTCTTCATGTCATCATATATTCCAGTTAAACCACTCAAGAATTTGGTGGAAACACTACAAGATTTAGAACTGACAGAATTTTCCAACGTGATCGGTCAATCTGGTGTAGAGGATCAACTAGCTAATCAAGGTGCTTATACAGTATTCGCTCCTTCTGAAGACGCTATCCAACAGCTATCAATTCCAGAACAGTAAGTCATTGTGCTTCTACATTACCATGGTTTGTAAACCCCCACCTTCATTGAGTAACACCTTATAATAAACATCATGCTTTGCCTAAAAATTAAGGACAGTCGTACCTTGTAAAGGCTTATTAATTTAGCTAACGAAATCTTAACGTATTAGTACAAATTTGATGACATTACTTTTTGAAATGATATTTTTACTTCAGGCAAGCCTTGCTATCTAGAACAGCTGATGGTACTCCAAACGTCTTCTACCACGTAGCACCAGGAAGACTCAATTTTACTGGTTTTAAGAAGAATTCAGACTATGTAACATTATATAAGGACGAGAAAATAAGTGTCCAGAAATACTCCTATGGTGTAAGTCATTATGTTAAAAATTTGCCCGTGAATCCACATAGGCGGTACATTTATTACACGACAAGAATTGATTGCAAGGTGTTTTTTTTTTAAAGGATCCCAAAAGTAAACGTCCATGAATACAATGATGATAAACTGTTTCCCAACCTTATGGACCCCCTCGTACCCCTCTACGTTTAAAAGCATATTGTGCACTACAACAAAGTAACAAGGGTTAATGCTTATTCTAAGGCATTGCCAACGGAATGTCGGAATCCATAGCATATATATTAATACTCTTACTGGTACTCATTAGTACACCAGCTTGGTAACCCACGGTGGTCAAGAACTATAACATTTATAAATCTGAGACATTTTAGAAAAGTACCGTTTAACTTGCAGGTAGCGACAGTGAACTGTGCTCGCGTTACCAAAGCTAACGAAATGGCAACCAATGGTATTGTTCATGTCATAGATAAGGTAACATCATTATGTCATAAAAACTGGCAAAACTGTTCGATTGTGTATAATCAGTGTATCGGATTACTTGGATGCGATCCAACGTATCTGTGTTTTGACCGACATTCCTTGCACCATATGCGTCCACATGCACTGTTAAATATTGATTTTTTTTCTATTCCACTTATTCTTATACTCAAAGACTTTCACCTTGTATAAAAGTTATTCGTATTCTTATCTGAACTTCAAACAGAAAACGATATATTGTTTATGCGAATTAAACCTTACAAAATAAAAGTATTTTTCTGTTTTGTTTTGTCTCGAAGGTGTTATCTCCCTTAGATAACCAGAGGGATTTGGCAGAGAAGGTGTTTGGTGATGATCAGTTTTCACAGTTCCAGCTAGCTCTATTTGTTGCCGACATGGTGAAAACACTGAAAAATAAACAACATCTGACAGTGTTTGCGCCCACTAACCAGGCGTTTGCGAAATTACCCAATGATATGCTAGATAGAATTTTACAGGACTCTGAAACTGCTAAAAGTAAGACTTAAAATTATCTTTTAGTTTTCAAAACTTACCTTAAGAAATAATCACAGAGCTCATCTCTCTGATACCACCATTCGTCAACCCTTTCAGAGAGTCCACATTTATGCCAACTGGAGTGTACCTTAACGTTATTGTATAAGGGCTAATAAATGAAATGAAAAATATTGCGGACAAATGGCATGTAAGTGTTGCTTAAACTCTACGGAAGTGAATCGATACAAGAGAGTACATTTTACACCATGGGTCCTGACACCCATCGTAAAAACAACGTAGTAAAACTTTAATCAAGCCATTTAGATTTCGTGAACAGGTCTGAAATGATCTGACATTAGTGTAAATCATAACCGTTAAATCTTGTGATGAAATGCAATTTTGTAGCCCACAAAAGCTACTATGATTACTTATTTCTTTAGAGGTGATAGAGCATCATATCGTGAAAGGTGTATACTGTAGTGATTCAGTGATTATTGCCCTTGGTTTAAAAACTCTGGATGGAACTAGACTGCTATTTAGATGTAAGCGAAGTGGTAAATACATTGGTAACGCTAAGTTAGAACAAATGGATATAGTAGGCCGTAATGGGGTTATACATGCTATAGACAATGTTCTTATACCAGATTCAGGTTGGTGTGTATGAGGCATTTTAAAGCCCTGTTTGTCAAATACATCGTGGCCATAAGGTTGTCGTTAAATGCGATTGGATAATTTACTGCTTGAAAGCAGAAAACAATCTAGTTTTGAGACAAACTTTCTAACAATCTAGAAATTACTTTCTGAGATCTAGCGCTATCTAAAACTATTGATCAATACAGAGGCGTCATGAAACCATGATTGAATTGAATGACTCATATATTATATATAAATATTCACATTTTGAGATAAGGTTTGAAATTCATATTTTGAAAATAATACATTGGCAACACAAAAATTGCACAAGTGCACAATGAAAGCCCGAATTACTGAGCAGCTCTTGTCATTTTGGGGTACTCCAGTACCAAAATTTACTTGATGGATAAATTTGCGTCTTTATCTACTAAACTAATGTATACCTTGAGACCATATAGCACGATAGTTAAAAGTTATCTATACTGGTATCTATTATGTACATTATTTCAGTAAAAACTGTAGTTGATATGGCAGATGATTTGGATATAAACGACCTTGTAAATTATGCTAGAAACGCCAACTTAACTGGAAGCCTTACTGACGGTGAAGACTATACATTATTAGCGCCTACTGATAAAGCTTTTAAAAGTAAGTAAGAGATTCAGTTGTAATTGTGTTTATTGCTATTTGGGGATTTTTACGTTTTCTTTGCAGGGCGATGGATGAGTTTTAAGGTACTTTCCTATTTTTGCGGATAATATGGAGGTACGTGACTTTGGGAACATGCCAGTTGGTTATTCATTGTAGCGCTTGTGGTTGGTTATGTCGAAATTTGAATTCCACTTAAACGTTTATGTACCAAATTATGCCTCTTTGCTTTTCTTCTTTCATTGCAATTTATCTAACGTAAATTGCGTATATTTCTCCGTCGATGTTCTAACGTAAATTGCGTATATTTCTCCGTCGACGTTCTAACGTAAATTGCGTATATTTCTCCGTCGATGTTCTAACGTAAATTGCGTATATATCCCCGTCGATGTTGAAACATTTAGTGCTATACAAAAATCAAAGCGGGTCATTGAGTTAAAATGTATTTTCAGAGTTACCGGCTGGTTACAGAGCTGCATTACGAACACAACCTTTAGCTGTTGGAAAGTTGTTGGAATATCACAAACTCAAGGGTAAAATAACATCAAACGACATGATAGGGAACCATTCTTTATATCATGGAGATAATGCAACCATTTCTGCCAAAATACAAGTTAACGTTTTTAGAAATGTAAGTATCTTACTTATAGTGTAGGGAGAAAATGTATGGTTCGAGGTGATCCGTTTTACTTCATATTTATTTTACCATAGTGGTATCGTATGTTTCTAGGGTTGCGACTCAGCTTCCCTTAGTCAGTGGTGGGTCAATAAACCCAAGCTTCATGACCTAAAGATCCTTCGTCAGTTGGAAATCGAAAATGGGTAGTCTAATGCCTATCCTGAAAAAATGTCTTCATTGCACACGACCATCCTTAAAACTAACACCTGTTCCATTCCATTCTTATCAAGTTAAGATGGTTCAAGCTGTTGGCATTGAACCATACACACCTCGAAAACACCTTTGTTCTCATGCTGAAGTTCCACTGTACCATTTTCCATGATAGGGTAATGTAGTTGTTGGTGGGGCTAAGGTAGAAAAGAGTGATACGTATTGTAAAAGCGGCGTGGTCCATACTATTGACAAAGTTTTGATTCCCGAAGAAGGCAGTATTATGGATACTATAATAACGGATCCTAATTTAAGGTAAAGTTACCCGATTTAGAAGTTGTTGCAGATAAGGAAACGTGAAAAAATAAACAGATTCACAAATGGACGCAAATCCAATCAATGTTATGTGATGTCTCTTCAAAATATGTTCTTCGTTTAATGGAAACATACGTCGTACAGGACATAGGAAAAGTGTTTTTATAGAATCGATCAATGTCCACGATAATCAGATAGACTACTTCATTTAATTGTTAATCGCCAGCGAATTTCTGAAGATTCTTCATAATTGAGAATTAATGCGGCGGCGGCCTTACAGTCGTAATGTTTTCTTACCGATGAAGAATTATTCACGCTTCCTTAAAACCCCAAAAAACCTCAAATGTATTTGTTTTTGCACTTCAGTACACTTAGATTAGCAATAGAAAAGGCTGGTCTATCTGAAATGTTAACCAAGCCCTATGGTCAATTTACAATGATCGCACCAACGAATCGAGCATTTAAATCCTTGGGTAGTTGGGAGAAGAAAGCTTTTGAGAAACTTACTCCTGGAGAACTGAAGGAGGTAAGCTTGATTACGACCACAAGTTGACACTACTACAGCTTTGAATAGGTTTCCAATGGAGATAATCTGGGTACAATTAATATCAAGAGGTTTGGCCAACGACCATGTTATAGAAATGATCATCCTCGTGATCCTTGTAGAAAAATTGCTATTTATGCAATCGTTATCTTTGGGAGAACCATTTACAGAATGCGTCCTTTGCTATTGAAATAGTCATCTCTGAACCCTTTCGAGCAGTCAAGATAAATATGTTGATCATGATAGAAAGTTGAGAATCTATGTAACGTAAAAGGGTGGTTATAGAACGTTTTCTTTGTAACTATGTCTGCGAATTTTTAACTTTCAAACGTGAATAATTATGGATTCACATGGATTTTAAGACTGAAATATCGACGATGGGCGGTGAACACTATTATTGATAATGTAAGCTAAAGAAATTCGTGTTTCTGTTTTATTTCAGTTCTTGGAACGTCACATCATCAACAGAATGGTATTAAAATGTGGCTTCAGTCCAAATTCAGTATACAGTATAAAATCTCGACAAGGAGACAGCGTCATCTTTACCCAAACTCGTTCAGGATCTGTCCACATAAACAAAAAATATCGTGTTCAGCATCGAGAAGAGATAATGGCTAACAATGGCGTATTATACAAAATAAACAATATATTGAAATGTTCTTGTGAACCCAGGATCCGGAGTAGAAGATAGATTTAAATAGGGGAAATATCGCATGAGCTGAGGTTATGATAATCCTCGCCTTACACAACACAGAACAGATCCTGCTAACCCTTGCTAAATACCAAGGTTTGAAATCTTGGCGTATCTGATCCATTAATAGTGTTGTAGAGTGGATTTGATTACTCTGCTGTATCGGCTATTTCTTCCCATGAACTGTGATAAATTAATAGTGCTAAGAGAAAGGGCTTTATATTTTAGTAATTGTTTAGTTTTAAAAGTTTTTGCGTGTTTATTTTGTACTTGATGTTTGTTATCCATATGTAAAAGATCAGCATTTTTTTTAAAGAGTCTTTTTTGTTAAAAATTGTTTAAGGGCTTTTATTTAACGCTTTTGCGAATGTACATGTATATATGCAACAGTTTAATTATTTTTTGAAGTATTCACATTTAGAGGCTTGTGTGTCAAAATATTAATATCTGTATATTTTATACACCCAAAATGAAATGTTTGACGTCCACAATTTAAAGTCAACACTCTTCAAGGCACAATTCTTGACAGATTTGGAAAAAAATCTTTGTTTATTATCACCAAAGAGTGTTGAACATGTTCTTTGAAACATATTCGATTATGAGATTGTAAATACCTAAAAAAGGCATAATTGATAACAGATTTCTACAATAAACATGAAATTAATTATCACCCTAGGGCGAGCAGAAGCAGAAAAGAAATGTCAGAAAGGAAGGGTTAAATATTTCAAGCGGGTTGATTTTCTGCCAAATTTTCTAATTTAAACAAAGCTGCCTGACAAGCTATCTTTAAAAATGTATTTTGTAGATTCTTTTGGACTACGCATACTTAAGATTTAGCTCAATGCCACATAGAAAAGTATATTTGAGTGATTTAATTGTTTGTTTTGAGCATTATTTTGTAGCATTTTTATAATAAAATTTCAGCGCTTTGATAACACCTGTGTGATTAAATATTGAATAAAAAATGGAGACGAATCTTGTAAGCTTATACAGTATAGAATAGAGAGAACACAATTAAAAAACCACCTCCAAGCATTTATATCGAACCATAATAAAATTTTGTTTTTGGATCGCACCACGCGAAGAAAACTGTAATATATATCTAAGAGCACATTAAAGGGTCTGTATGTCCCATTGAAGCTATACAAAAAAGTACGGTAATCACTATAAATGAAATAATGGTTTTAATGATGGACTTCTTTCTTTCTTTCTTAAGTCTAATATATCTATGTAGTTTGTACAACAAACTATTTAAAACATGCGTCTGTTTCTGTTCCTCACATTCAAATAATTACTCATGATATAATGACGAAAACTGGATATTGTCAATATAGGGAATAATTTAACGAACACATTGGATGTTGAGCAATCTCTCTTTATAAATTCTACATCCAAACTTATAACTAAACCTACCACAATGTGTTCATGTCACTATGTGTTCATAACAGTATATTATGTCACTATGTGTTCATAACAATACTATTGCCATAACAGTATAGGTCACTATGTGTTACTTTGTGTTAATATCAGTACATGTCAGTAAATGTCACTTTGTGTTCATACCAGTAAATGTCACTTGGTGGTCATAACAGTATATGTTACTATCTGTTCATTGAACAGTCCTTTTTCTGCTCACGGTTTAAATTTACTTGTTGGTATAACGTAGTGGTATTAGTATTAATTCACATCATTCTAAGGCATATAGGCGATCCAGTAAATAATATTCAGCACAGTAAACGTCACTGGGAACAACACCCTAGAAGCTCGGTCTATTTTGCTCACACTGTTTCTGAAGTCATGTATACCCGGGGACTTAATTTTACTGAAACTAGTCTTAGTTCCCGTCAAACACTGACACAATAACGATATGAAACTTCTTGTGTTCCGTTTACAGTGACCTTCAATTTTCATTCTTTCCATCTCCAAAAATTGTAAATCACATTTCTTAGGCTGATTCATATTCTGTAAATAAAACAAAGAGAAGGGTTATATCGAAATGATAAAACAAAAATTTATCAATATCTTGCCAAATCCATACCTGCTCCAAAATAGTTGGTTCTGGTTATGGGCACTGGAGCGTTGCATACCTTGATATGGTTTTAGTAAAGGATGTGTCGATGCAGTCCTATATTGAAGCGCTAATTCGCTAAATAATTTATAATTATTATTCTATGACAGTAACGCGGAAGGGAGACAACCAATCAGGTAATAGTTATTGATGTAAAAAGGAGATGAATTGAGTTTGTGAAGAATCTTACATGGGCCATCTGCCAAATTATATACATAAAATGCTTGCTGCATTATGCAGGGGATAGATTCAATGTGATATGTGCAGCATTTATATAGACTTAGCCACCAGAAGGTGGTACACGTCCTTACAAATAAAAAGACAAAATATTTTCGAAAGTTTGTTACCTCTTCTTCGCTCTCGTCATCATCTGTAGATTCTGATAAAATTGGTTCACCTGTACCATATTTAGTGAAGGAATGAACTATAGCAAATTCTACAGTAGTTGACAATACAAACACAAAACAAACCGCTATGTATAAATCTAGGGCAGTAATATACGATACTTTAGGAAAGTCGTTTCTATTTTCAATGCCCAATATGGTCATCGTTAAAACTGTGGTTGTTCCTGAAATCAAAGAAGAGAACGCAATTGAGCCATTAATCCCCATTACCAAAATTGAGGCCAGTCAACTTGATTATGCCATTACCGATTACATGAAAGATTACATTGCCAGAGCAGTCGTAATTAGATTTTGAACTGTCGCTGATATTCAACAGGTCAGAATAAATAATTTGCTCTTGGTAACATTCGTTCACCACAGTATATTGATGACACTAAACAACCTGCTGCAGGTGTATGATACGTGCAAGGATAAGAACCATACCTAGAGCTATTCTATCAGCAGTAGCTTCCCTGTTGATCCAAAAAGATACCCAAGAGAGAACAACGAGTAAGGCACATGGTACATACACTTGTATAATAAAATATCCAGCATGTCGTCTTAAATAAAACTTCACTGCTAGTACTGAATGGTATTCTGGAAGAAAAGTTTAAACTATAAGCGGACATAAATATAAACATGTATAATGCGCATTCGCGTGCTGTTCAAAATCAATAGTTCCGATAAACTATCTCAAAATATATGGGCTATTTTGTGAGTATGTGAGTATTTTAACGATGTCTTAACAACGCTTACTAACTTACGGGCTAAGAACTTTCGTAATCGTAGTAATGGTAATTTATGCATAAGGGTGACATCTAGCCGAGAATAAATTGGTATTGCTTTTTTTCTTTTGATGTTTTTAAGAAATTAATTGCTTAAAATGTGTTTTCCGAGGAAAAGCATGGTCTATTATCAGCAATTTGTAAACATGAAAGCCACATAGAATCTAAGAGATAAATAGGAGGAGCCTAGGTGTGCTACACCCATTCCATTTTGGTGTTATTGCGCATATCAAGTCATATATACCGCGTATTAACATATATATTATCAAACTCATCCTAACGGATTCTCTGATAACTCGCAAGAATGTTACAAGATTATCTATGAATCAAAACAATGCGCGCCAAAATCACACGTATTTAAGAAATCCTATAAGGTGGAAGTCACGAAGATCACAATTGTAATCACATTCAGATTGAAAAGATAATAACAGAAATTTGAAAAATGATATACCTCCTTTCACCATGCTGGTATAATTTGTCATAGGATAACCAATCAGATCAAAAGTGGATAAGGTTAGATGGGGATAAATATCTACTGGTGACGTCAACTTCCCTCGCCATTTATATTTCACATCAGAAGTGGAGTAAGCAACTAAAATAAACAAAACGCCACGAAAAACTTTTAAACGCAGGTTTTTCAACTATTTTCTTTCTTACCCTTTTCAGGACCCTTGATCGATTACATACCCCCCTTTTCCCTATCTCGTTTAGGTTTTCTCTGCAATCCTTTTATACAGCCGGAATATACAGCCTAAGTGATGGAATGACTTAAATTTTAATTGTCCAAAAATTTTATGCCAGGCTACAAAGCGCCACATTACCCCCCTCCCCTCAAAATTCAAAATTACCCCCAGGTTGAACTCCTGATTTGGGACATAAGACAGCGCTTCAAGCAAACCATTATGCATAAATGTGTCCTTTTAAGAGAGGAGCGATTTTTCAATTTATTTTATCTCTTATCGATATAATTATTTTCTAGTGGTGATATTTTGTCTTGTGTTTTGTAAGAACTGTTCAATTATTGATATATTTATTGACCGATGTTCAAAAATAACATTGTTACAGACGACTATGTATTTATTATAGATTATGTTTCTTTTTTTCAATTTGAAACTTCCAGACAAAACCCTGAAAATAAGAAACATTATTAGAACGCAAATCGCAATGAATCGGGTGATGTATGCGGACCGTCTAAGAGAATTTCCAATTAACATAGATAAATCTTCATCTTTATAACGGTTCCTTAGTGAATTCACAAATGTCATTCTAAAATGGATCGTATAGGATTTTAATTGTTTTAAACTACCCTTTTCGCCATATATGTTCCAAATGGATTTTTAATGACAGATATTTGGGTAAATGAGCATTTTGGACCAATAATTGAACAATTTAGATGTCTGAAGCGAGCCCTGTAATTGCTAGATGGATAGTGTAGTTAAAGCACATTCAAATCTTAAAGAGATCTGGAAGAGATTCAAGTAGACTGTCAGAACAAACACAAAACAGTCCTTTAAAGGGGTTCTGTTCAGACAATTCAATTGCTTCATAAAACAGCAGTTATTTGTACTTCTCGAGTCTGGAATTTCACATATAACACTTTAAGAGCGGCAAGTTTCAAACTTCGAACTTTGCGGGGCCCTCATTAATTGTGTTCAATGTATAAATATTTTGCTATCATATTTCTCAAACAACAACAATATTCAGTAGCGTGTGCGACATTCTGAGATTCCGCAATAATTTGGAGATTAGCCCAATAACGGACAAAACGTTCAATACTGCCATGGTCGTCTTCATTAGCCATAAGACAAACGTTGAACGTCGCTTAAACAAGAATTGGCTTTATTATACCTTACACTACCACAAACGTCTCCTTAGAATTCCTTTAAAACGAAATAAAAGTCGTTGAGATTTTTTTGTGTTAGAATATCCTACTATCACGTCAGTCAATTACACACTCATGAAGTGGAAAATTAGTAATAATCTTTCAAAATCTATCATTTCAATCACAAATTTCCTAGCAATTTAAACTGAAGCTCTCTTCATGGCGAGCAGAAATATTGGTTTTGTCATTTCAATCAATGGGAAAATCCAATTAAGAAATCTCATGGTTTCGTTATGATATAATTAGGCATCGATGAGCAATTTTACTGAAATGAGTTATTAACTAATGGTTTACGACATTCTGATATTTAAAAATATTATTATCACAAAAACCCATCAAGTCTTAATTGGAAAACTTTTCATGGTTGTCGTAAATTGTCGAGTTAAGACATTTAAATATTATTTTTCCAGATAAATGATTTATATCAGTCTTTTGAAGCAAGTCCGAGCCTTACGTGAAAGCACCGTCCTCATAACCTCCGCGAGTCTGGAGTCTGAAGCAGTTCTGTACTGCTATCGGGAGACAGCTACGGAGGTCAAAATGACAGTTGCGTTTGTTCGTCGTCCTAAAATTTCAGCGATGATTTGTGATAAGTTCGGAATAATTAGAATAGGCCTGTAGCTGGTTCAGGGGGACCCGGCCTCGGCTCACCCACCTCCCTGATAAATTTTGATTATTTGAATGACATGTTTAGTCGCTATAGTTGAGCCCCCCCCCCCCCTTAAACGTTTGTGGGCCCCCTTGAGATCCTGAGCTAGCTAGGGGCCCGCCATGGACATTGATCAAGCATTACGACACAACGATGCCTTTAACTTTAATCATTAAGTAAGACTGGGAATCCCAATTTGTTATTGGCAAATATTTTACTTCATTTTTGTAAGACTTCAGTCTTAACATTTTGATACTATTAATTTGCAGTCAACGCCCTGCAGCCGGAATAAATATGCAAGACCTTGAACTATTAATGCGGATCAGGAATTTACATTGGAGGAGACCATGATCTCGACTTCTACCCGTCTTGTTGATGCCTCTGATCTGGTATTACCAGCTATCAATCAATCTAATAGCCAATTTAGTATTTAATATCGAAATTATGCTGGACATGGAAACTATTTATTACGGCTTAACTTGGAGTCATAAATCTGCCAGAATCGACTTGTTTGTATTTGGTCCTATTAATGGATGTAGACCTAACTAATTCATTGCATTAATCAGTCTCCAATGGTTTTTCTTGTAGTTACAGAAGACATTATTGTCTGATGGCTGATTTTAAACAACGATTTCTATTACTGCGTTTACGGACTTATTTCATATTTTGAATAAACTGCCTACGGTTTGTAAGAACCAAATACTTTCCCGTATCCGGCCATAGGGGAAAACTTCAAGGGTATATGATGAGAACAAATGCAGAAACTGGTAAAACTGTTCACAGCTCATCGTCCTGATTTGAGCCTGCAAATCCATGTGTGTCCAGAATTATCAGCGTTTGAATGTTAAAATGACATTTGTCATATATGGAAAATACATATATAGAAAGAGTGAGTAATATTGCTAGTTTGAAGTATTTTTAAAGAAATTGTGCGATTTTCGTAAATCTCAAGTACTTCTAAAGACTATTTACATATATATTTAAGATTAAAACCAACCACTCAAAATGCCGCATGTCTCTTTAAAAAAAGATTACATCATAATCACATGTTCATGAACGTCTTGGTGCCATGGAATCTACTACGCACTAACATCATTGATCTAATTTTCTTAAAATCTTTTTCGGTTAAAGTAGACTCGTAAATCTGTGATGATATTCAAACTCTTAGACAGCTTCAAATAACATGGATCGTTAGGAATTGTCGTTTTACATATGGCGACTGTTTCAATATATCAATAAAGATTTAAGTGCTGAATGCTCTGTCATTTGCTTTTGTTCTTGCTAGGCATAAACATATGGTTATGTTTAAAATACAGTTTTCATTAGCCTACACGGTATAGAAAATTAGGACGTAAAACTCCATTCATTTCATTTCATTTAAAATACGTGAATATCATTTCAATATGAAATTTGTTAAGGCCAATGTTTTCGAGGGATCTGGCCCTGGATTCACAGACCCTTTTTCATCATAGTTGAGATTTTACTCAAATTTGAAGCAACCATTACAGATGCATAACTGATTGTATCAAAGAAAAAAGGCTTTATTTATTTCCTAGGGTACAATGTTTCTGGCGTTGTCACATTAATCTATAAATTTTACCTTATCCTGTTACTAAGGGCAATATGAATTTAAGTAAAAACAAAGCTGAGCATGATAGATGTTACTCAAATTGGAAGCAGCTATTACAGATGCATAACTGGTTGTATCAAAGACAAAACGCTATATCTTTTTCTTAGGGTACAATGTTTCTAGCGTTGTCACATAAATCTTTAAATTTTACCCTTTCTTTTTGCGACGGGCAATATGAATTTAAGTAAAAATAAAGCTGAGCATGATAAATGTTTTGTTTATAGGATACTTACAACTTCCAAAATAAAGCGGACATTGCTGAATATCCAGTGGGAACTTCTTTAGATTCATCATGCAATTAGCTCGAATCGTCAGTCTGAAACATGCGTTTACAAATTTATAGTGATATATATCAAATCCAAAATCATTTTAAAAAAAAAATACACATAAATTAATATAATTAGTGCATTCATATGTACCAGGAAAAGGCGAAGTATCATGAATAAATGTAATAGATAAAATTCCAGTGATAACCAACTAAGCACTGTTTTGGTAAATTTTATAGAAAAAATTGTCCCGTTATTGAGAAAATTTTAAGATTTTTCAATGAAATCGAACCAATGTGCTGCTGCTTTCGTTTGGATGACGTCGTCACTAATTTCCCTCATAAACATAATTTCTATTCCCAAGGCAATGAGAATTTTTTTCAGTTGTTCAAAAGCTTGGAAAAAGTGTTGTCAGCCTAAGAGCTGAATAATTAGACCTGACAGCGTTTCAAAAAATGGTGTGAAATGATTTTATTTATGACAAAATAATCACTTTTACAAAATAATCAAATTAGCAGCCATGGAGATAAATGTTCACTTCGTTTTATTTCTTACCTTTGCGAATAAAGAATTCCACCATCAGGACTTATTCGCAGGAATTTATTTGGAGTCGTGATGATATGTAGATAGGAATTCTGTCCATTGTAGAAGACAGTATCAGGATGCCAGATTCTCTCCAAGATTTTGATGCCAAGTGAAACATTTTCTAATGATATATTCAGAGACAAGCGTTGGTCCACCCATGTTTGTCGGAAATAGCAATCCAAGGAATATACCTAATAGAATAAGAATGATTATTTATTTATGCGTTAAGGATAAAGTTTGATAGTAAAAGTCAGTAAAAGTCAGTTTTGATGCAGCAATCGGTTTCGCGCATAACAAGTGACCAATGGTCATTACTCCAAGCTAATACACACTAATTTCATATACTTTTAAACAATTCACAGTTGAATTTGGTATCCAACGTACTGTCGGGCATATCTGAGAGCTTGGGAGAATGACATTTGCCACTTCTAATATTTTTGCAGTTGTAATCGAACCAGGTTCTCATGGAGCGTTAGGTTCATCATCACCAAAATCACCATCTCCCTTTAAAACATTAATTCCCATTAGAGGTAAAAATATAATAATATGCATTACCATGTCTAGCTCTGAAATTGGTCCCATTGATCTTAACAATATATCAGCATGAACAATGACAGGACCGTCTGTAATCAGAACAATATCAAAGTACATCAAACACCAGGAATATACTGTCGTTTAAATGTCAAAATTATCGAATAAAAATATCAATTATTGAAGACAAAATCAAAGGAAGAAAGGATCATTCCGTAATATAACTAAGGCCACACAGAAATTAATTCCACCACATTTTGACGAATGAAATAATGCATTTAAAGGCTAAATTACTTTACCCAAAATGACAAATCGTTAAAATCCAATTTTGGTTGTTTTGAACTGCATAAGTTTTTGAAATCTGTTAAAAACCAATTACAATAGTGATTTCGATATAGCTTAGCGTAGTAACGTAAACACAGTTCAAAATGGAACTGATGGTCTTTCATATAACAACTGGGACAGAGGAAGTTTTTAAATGATGATTTATATAAATAAAGAGTTAAGATAGTAAATGAAATATAATCTACAGTCTAGACATGACAATACCATAGAGACCTTTTTCACCTTCATATTATATTTAAACTTCCAGTGTATTATATAACTTGAAATATTAGATAGAATCTGAATATAGCCTAATGTGAAATCCATTCCCCGAGGTGCAAGTTCTTAAAATTGGAAAATTAAACGACGAATATCCTGTTCCGTCGTTTATAATTCTTAAGTCAAGACAGACATCCATCTTATAGCAGACTAATAAATTACATATTAGTCCCCATTATTTACTTCATAATGTCAAAATTATTGGTTGCACTTTCATTAAATTCACTATCGAATGAAATGAAGCAGGTAAGAGGGGCTGACGTGGAAAAAGCGTCTAGTCGTTCGGACAATTAACCGAGGCCCCGTGTGTTATGGGCTGTGCAAGTTAAAGATTCCTCGACAGTTGGAAATCGAAAAAAGAACATGATAATTCCGCTGTTTTGACAACATTTCCCTCATTGCACCCTGCATGGCGTTGTCTGTCTTCATTAGCCCACATGATGCAGGAAAGTAGGACAGTTGTTCACCGAAGAAATGAGCTTTAGGACAATTGCTCGCCACAATTTTATAACATGTCTTGTCCGTTCATATTAAATTTTTGAGACCCCTTACTTCTGTCCAACAACACAATGAATGCCTCGCCACTGTAAAAAGTCACTTTTCCAACCTCAAAGTCGGTACCATAGAAGTGAATCAAGTACGGAAATAGAAAATGCGTGACAAAGAGCAGTATTTCAACTGCACCATTGACATTACTTATGTCATTAACTGCATTAACGTAGTGTTAAGAAACTGAGTTTAATCAAAGCCTTGTTGATGCTATTAAGTCTTATCAGGCTGTTCATTTTATTTATCAAGTCATGTTTTGTTCGGAATAACTCTAATCTAATTGCAGAAAATTTAGACTTTTTATGCGGACAAAGAATAATAAAATTAATGATATAGCAATCTATATTTCTCTAGCTTAAGATGGTCTTTTTTTTTCCTGAATTTTTCTGGAATTTAAAGACGTAGTTCCAGAAATATCATATAAAAAGTGATATATTATTAACTTTCAAGCATGTGCGAGATAAAGTAGATTTGTAAAACTTCTATTATCTCGACTAAGCAAATTAACAAATGCAGATGTTGGATTCATAGTCTTTTTCATCCAGATTGAAAAAGTTGTAGATATGATTGACCAGCGATAATTTTGAAAACCGACTTCTCCCCCTACGATGATGGCCTTGAAGTAGTTACGATAAAACAGCTGGCTACTACCACCATCCTGGCAAAAATCCCCCTTCTCCATGAAGCCCAATAACGTGTAACAAAACTACGACAGAACTCCAATTTCATTTCGTTTCATTTACATTCGTTGTAAGTGTTAGTTAAAACAGCAAAATCTAACTAAAATTATAAAGGATGCGACGACAAACAAATTTACAACTTTCCTTTTGATTCACCTAAAGGTCTTATCAACTAAATTGAATTTGAAATTTCAATGCATCTGAAAACCGCCTCCAAGCTACTTGATCATCTTTCTTGTCGTTGAATCCAATATGTTCGCTTGGCCAATAAATCAAGTCAGACTTTTCTTATCAGGCAAATGTTCTAAATTAAATTTGTTGATTTGAAGAATGTATTGCACTTGTCAGGAAATCTCTTAAATTAGGAGAGAAAGAATCACCTTTGAGGTTTTTATCATGCCCTGATAGCGATTAGGAATCCCGATATTGGAAAGAATTCGTCGCAAAAGATATTTGTATCTGTCGACGTGGAAGAAACATCAAATCAGCTGTGAAATTTGTTCTTGTAACTAATTTATTGAAGACCTCCCTTATGTGATACAAGGCGCCATTAATCAATTCAGCTGATTTACAGCCGATCTCTTTTCATTTCCGATTTACCGGCTGGAGAAATGACCATAAGTTATTTGTTTACATTTTCGGATAATCATTTCTGTCAGGTTATTACAAGCATTTACAAGAGTTAACTACAAGAAAGTTATGTTAACACAATTTCAGCTTATCCATTTGAAAAAATTTGACTCTAACTTTGGCCGAATAATGCTTTTTTTTTATTATTGGATTTTATCTTATTTTATATTAAAAGCGAAGAACCTTTTCCTTTGAGTTTGATCATTTTATAACAGCTCTGTTGTAAAACTATACAAATTGGTTTATGTTCATCTGCCATTTGTTTAACTTCGTCTCGAGCAATTCGTAACATTTTAAAGGTTTATAGAAATTTCTATCAATATTAAAGGGACTAATGCGCCATTCTTCTTGACCAACCAGAAACGGGATTTTTTTAGCGAAACAAATCAGTAATAGTGTTTACAGCCCACCGTCAAAATTTGAGCCTTCAAATCAATGTATGTCCAGAATTATCCGCGTTTGAATGTTAAAATGACGACTCGTCATTTAAAGATACTATGTGATATATAGGAAAGACATATATTGAAATAGTGAGTAAAATTCCTAGTTTGAGATATTTTTGAAGGAATTATGCGATTTTCGTAAATTTCTAGTATCTCTGAAGACTATTTACATATATTCCAGACTCAAATCAACCCTCAAAACGGCGCACCTGTCCTTTTAAGAATAGTGTACCTACACAGTCGGAACAACGAAATCACAAAGAATCAAATCATCAGTTTTACCTTTTGATGGTGGTCGAACTCTTTTGTCATAACCATGTAGTAATCTATCTAGTAGACTGGACATATTCTTTAACTTATGTGATCCATGAACACCAAGCACACAATTTACACTGGAAAAAGATCAAATGGCATTTTTTTTAATTTTTCATGAAAAGCAGTTGCATTTGATTGTCGATTTGATTGTATGATTGTCAACCTAAGGGACATTCCGCTCAAATTTGTGAAAATTATACACACAAATCTGAGAAATATGCCATTTAACATATCTGGGAGTTTTAACTTAAGAAATTCAGCCGTTAATTTTTAAGAGCCAAAATTTTTAAAAAATATATGTTAGTTATGCATTTTGGAAGCTGTTAGGTTATTCTAGATTTTTCTAGTAAGATCTATATAAGTGTACAGCACATTCATGATTGTATGCACAGTGATGTTTAAATTGTAAGCTGTCGGAATGGACTTGAGAGCTCAAAGCTTATATCTAATATCATTACGAAAGAGCTTAATGCTAGTAATTACGTATCAGATATAACAGATAAAGGTGAGTATGACTAGATCAAATCGTTCTGGAAGGGTACCTTTAAAGAGATCTTTTCAGATTACACGATAGTGACTAGAATTGCATTAAATATCGATTTCTAACTTCAACCTCTCATCAATTCTAAGCTTAACGATCGCCCTCAATGCATCATTTTTCCTTTTTAAGTCTTTGTCTAAGCTATTTATTATGATTAAGCTAGCACTGTTGTAAGAATGGATGAATTCCAGATCTCACTTAAAGCCTTAACTTGACAACTTTCTTGTCTTAAACTATCATTACTAACCAATTATTGGTGTATTTTTCAATGGAAAATTTAACCATGATTTGGCCATTTAACTTATTTCGCTACGAAAAAGCTTTTTTGAACACACTACTGCGCATAAAATACCAAATTTAACGTTATTTTGTATGTAGACACTGTAAAAGGAAGACAAGAAACGGTTTACTTTCATAATAGTAAACGGTAGATGAGTAAGATGTTAATGTGCCATTTGGAGTCATAATTGATGCGCAACGTCCATATATAATAGTTGAACCATTCAAATTATTTTTTAATTTTCGATATTTATGGAGAGATTCGCCAATGAATTAATGGTGTGGTAATGGAATACTGGTACGAAATTGATGTTTAACAAGTTTGCGAAAAAAATAAATAAAAATGCTGTAAACTGTCAAGTGACTATCTGTGATGACAATTGACAACGATCAACGGAAAGTCACCAGATGGTATTGCATTTCAAAGATGCAAAGAAATTTGTCTCTTTTTATTTTTTAAGATGTAGCAGCGCTCAGTGAAACGTATCAATCTAAAATGGTTTTCCAAAGTCTTCAGTACGTAATTACATAAGTTATCTGAACAGCAGATTAGCTTGAATTCCTCATCAAATTGATCACCGTCTAGAACAGTCTAGCATCTTTTAAAGATGGTTGACCGCACATTAAAACATGGTTTGGTCTCTCGGTACATCTTGTGTTTCGTTTGGACGTCCATGATCCTCCTTTCAAGTGCAGAAGATGGATACTTCGACCAGAAAAAAATCAATCTGTATCGGTATCTGAAGCTACGAAGCAGATCATGTTTACGCTTTTCAAAACACCTGATGGTACTTCTCTTTATAGGAGTCCACTACGACACTACTTTTACTCTCGAAGTTGCCCTACTTTGGACGAGATTTGGATTAACGAAATTATCATGTTTGTACGGAGTTATATCTAATGCTACCACTGATCATATTAAACACGTCAAACAGGTTTTTGATAGTTTTGCCCTTACGACTTATTTTACCGTCTCCGGATTGACTTAACTTTTAGTTCAGCCAAAGTTTTGGTAGTAACAACTAGCAAGACCTCTGGAAAGTGATAGGAATAGATGGTTTAGAAAACTTGTATGTATTG